AACAGATCTGTGTTAGAAGTGCAGCCAGAGTGCTCCTTGAAGGCCAGAATGGCCAAACTTCGCCTCTCATCTTTCAGACATACTCTCAGGAGGGACCAGACTCTGGGTAAGGATATCATGTTTGTTAAAGTGGAGGGTCATAGAAAAAGAGGAAGACCCCTAGCGAGATGGATTGGCAAAGTGGCAGAATCAATGGGCTCAAGCGTGGCAACAATCGTGAGGCTGGCCCAGGACCTATGGGTCGGAACTGACTCAACGGCACTTAACAACAACAACCACCTAATGAAGACCATGAAAATAATTTTATATTTAATAATAATTTAGATTTTATGATCTCTATTAATAGACATCTATAAATGGAGTTGCACAACATAAAAAAATCTTGCTTTGTTAATTTGCTAGGAGAGGTGTATGTGTAAAAAGGTAAATGGCAAAAGCGTTTCCTCACAGCAGTTAAGATGTATCCCTTGTAACATACTGGAAAAAGTTGGCATCTTCCACATCATCCATAACTTAAAAATCTACCTGAGTCTTTGACTTGCTCTTTTGGATCATCAGACACTATTAACTGTGTGAAACATTTTCTTCCAAGGGACTTTTCAACAGCTGCTATCTAAAAAGTTAAAAAAAAAAAAAAAAAGAAGTAATAATAATCAACAGCATTTTTCTTTTGGCAAACTACACCATTATATTAGAAAGCTTAAAAAATTTGAAAAGATTTCAATTTAAAAATAATCCATACACTAGACTAATAACACACTAGCATTTTTTCCTATAAATATTTTCAAGAGAAACAAACTCTTACCTGATGTTTGGATAAAAGAGGGCTGTAGGAGAAAAAAAAAGGAATTAAAAAGAAATACAAATAAACTTCCAAATAAATGTCACTGATACGGTTTTTAAAAAAAAAACAAAACTGTTAACTTCTGTGGATTCTAATATTCTTGTTGTTTGTTGTTATGTGCCATGGAGTTCAGTTCCAACTCTTAGCGACCCAGTACAGGGTTTCCAAGGCTATAAATCTTTACGGGAGCAGAACGCCTCATCTTTCTCCCGCGAAACAGCTGGTAGTTTCGAACTGCTGACCCTGAGGTTCGCAGCCCGATTTGTTACCATCACGCAACCAGAGCTCCTTTCAGCACAGAATATTTCCATAGCTAAAACATTACTAATGGTTTACATAGTTCTGAATACAGACACTGTTATTGTTGTAAAGTGCCAATGAGTGTCTGTATAAGGTTTGAGGAGTGACTGGTGGATATGAACCACTGACCCTGAGGTTAGCAGCCCCGTGCTTATCCCATAGTGCCACACCAGGACTCCTTAGGTAACCAATTACTATTAAAAAAACTAGAGAATAAATACAAATGCAAAAATCTCCATACATAAAAGAATGCCAACCTTTTGTTAACAATGTATTTTTTAAGTATTTCACATACAAAATTATTCTTTTAAATCTTAATATATGTCATCATAATCTAAAATACACTGTGGTGGGAGATAATTTTATTGGAATTAAACTTGGACACAACAAAAAAGTAACTTTTAAATATTAAATTTTATAGACTAACCAAGGAAGCAGAATGAATATATTCATACAAAAAAAGTCTATAGCTACTTTAATCCTATTACAAAACTGGAAAGTGACTTAAATGTGTATTAACAACATAATGAGTGATGCTGCAGACACACAATGAATCTGCCAAACAATAAAACAACTACTGTAGCACAGGCATAACATGAAACAAAAATCAACAGGCCATGTGATTCCATTTATAGGATAATACATAGCAGGCACATATACTGTGAGAGAAATCAGAGAGTAGTTTCATTGAAATTTAAGTACTGACTTGGTACATGAATGAGAGCCTTTAAAAGGACTAGAAATGTTCTGTATCTTGATCAGAGTGGTAGTTACATACACGTACAAAAATAAGACAAACTGCATTTCTGAAAAACCACAGAAGCCTTTATTAAACAAAAATAGTAAAACGTGAAGCTACTGTTTCTCAGTAGGTTTTAAGTATCTAGATTATGTTGTTGTTATGTGCCATGGAGTCGGTTACGACTCATAGTGACCCCGTACAGGGTTTCCAAGGCTGTAAATCTTTATGGGAGCAGAAAGCCTCATCTTTCTCCCGCAGAACAGCTGCTGACCTTGCGGTTCACAACCCGATTCGTAACCACTACGCTATCAGAGCCTCCATATGTCAATGCACTTCTTTAATGTGGTGTTTCTATCTCGCTAACCTTTCCCAGAAGATGTCTGTGCTCTGTGACATATACCATGTCAAAACGGCAGTTTCTGCATCCTTGGTGAACACAGATGGTGTTCCTTTGTGTTTGGGGAACAAAAAGAAGTTTGAAACAGCAAAGTAGGGACTGAAGGATGGATGAGGTAAGGTTTCCCAACAAAATTCTGCTAAGTTAGCCTTTGCTACCCAGAAAGAATTAACAGGTGCATTATCTTGATAGAAAACAATTTGTTGACAAAACTTTGCCGTTTTCCTCACCACCAGCACCATTTTCAATGTTCTCAAAACTTGACTGTCCTGAGTCCCTCATGGAAATGCTATTAAGGTTACACCATTCGAATTCCAAAAATCACAATAACCTAAGCTGACCTTGCAGCCTTGAATTCAGCTGATTCCCTTGGAAGCTACTGTTTTAATTGGATCTTGCTCTCTGTATCATATTGGTAAAATTAAGTCTAGTCCTCAATTTCAATAGTTGCACAAAATTATCTTGATTTACTTAAATTTTGCTTAAGGACTAGTGGAAAAACCATCTTTTTGAGCTAGCTGATCTCCACAATATTTTTGGCACCCACTGAACCAAAAACTTGCTGAGGCTAAGATATTGGCTTAAATTGGAAAATGCCAAACCACGTGAGGTCTCAACTTCAATAGTTATCACATCATTAGTAATTCTATGGCCGTCTTCTACAAGTTTCTGAACTTCAACCACAGTTTCGTCATTTGTCAAGGTTGACGTCTTCCCTCTCTTGTTGAGGTCTTCCCAACCTTCCTTAAAATACTTAATCACTCTAAAAACTGTTCGTTTTATGTAAGGCAATATTCCCACAACTTGTTGCAAAGCTCAGTTTGGGAAGATGTCTACTGAGTTTAGTTAAAAATTTGATATTAGCCCTGACCTCACGAATCGCTCTTTTCCAGAGCATAAAAAGTATCCATTTCTTGAAAACAAGCACATAGAATTTGTCCCACGCATGCATGAACTGGAATTCTAGTGCTTTTTGACTTCTGTGTGTGTGTGTGTGTGTGTGAAAGCATATTGACAAGTACAGCTTCAGCTTACTCTTTGTGACTCTGAGACAAAAGGAGAAAAATTGATCAACAGAATGGGAGGTCTTTCAGTCTCTGTATTGAGGACTCATGTTTTATAGCTGCTTTAGGCACAGTCATATTCCCTCATCACAAAATTTTGGGTCTTAAAATAATGAATTTTTTTATATTGATTGAAAATGCTTTATTTCTATAATTTAGTTTAAAAAACCTAACACAATAAAGTCAGATAATTTTAAATTATCTGGTAAGTGCAGTTTTACTTCTGCAGCATTCTGGAAAATTATTATATATTTGCTTTCCGGCAGAGATTACCATTAAAATGCTATAATTATTACCATTTACAAACACTGGCAAACAAATTGAATAATTATCCTGATCCACAATTTAGCTGATCTATATTGTTTCATCTTTTAACCACAAAGATACCATAATTAGAAGAGTTACGAGAATCTTCAATAGGTTTGTGGAAAATTTCTTCTCTTTTAATTCTACTTTTCCATAGACTTTTGGAAGAAACAACATATTTCAAAATTTCTAATCAAAAGGGTCCTTGAACCTGTAAAAAGTTGATTGTTTCCTGAGTCGAGAGTAAGAAACTGAGATCAAAGCTGAGAGAGCAACCTGGTATTTTAGTATATAACTCCATCTAAAAACATTAACTGTTTAATAATGAAATGGACCTTGAATTTCAAATATTCAATGCTATAACACTTCTTCAATGCTCTAGTTTCCTTCATTCTGAGAAAATACTGATATACTTACTCTTGATGTGTTGTGCAAAATTTAGTAAGCCGTTCAAAATCTTCATTAAATCCTTTTTCTGCATTCCTTTGAGATATAACTGTATGTGGTTGCACAGTTTTCCATTTTGTTTCTAAATTTAAAATATTTATTAGTCACTGCTTCTTACAAAAATATTTCAACCCCAGCCCACTGCCCCTGAGTCGATCCCAGCTTATGGAGACCTAGGGGACAGAGCAGAAGTGCTGCTTTGGGTTTCTGAAACGGCAACGCTTTACAGGAGCACACAGCTTCATCTTACTCTTGCAGAGTGGCTTTGAATCACTGACCTTTCAATTAGCACCCAACACAACCCACAGCACCACCAGGGCTTCTTACAAACATATTTAGGAGGGAGAAAACAGTTGCCTGGCACTACTGACAAATATTAATATGCACAATTATTTTCTCAACAACCCAAATAATAGAGAAATAGTTAAGTGATTACTTTTCAATATATATATTAGATCAAATTGATCAGAAAAAATTAAACTACAAGTATTCTTTTCTTGTAATTAACATGAAGATGAAAACACAAAGACAAAATTTTCTCACAATACATAGAATTATTGTAAAAATGCAATTTTCTAACTTTACTGTGGAAACGTCAATTTCCTGACTGTGGTGTAATGAATTATTTATACGTCTCTTCTAGATTTTGTCTTTTAAAATTCCACCAAATGAATCTTTTCCTTATGGATCTGGATAAAAGAAGATGCTGATAGAATGACATGATTCAGTTGTGGATGTTAACAGTCCACTGTAATTGTCAAAACATGAAACTCTAGCATCGGTATGAAATGCGCCACCTCAGAAGCAGAAATGGGGGATCTCACTACCTTCAAAAAAGAAGAGTCAGGAGTGGAATGAGTCCTTTGAACCATGAGATCTTTGCACAAAGAAACACCCTAACACAGGGACAGAAAGCTAATAACACCAAGGAAGTGCAGAGGATTAGCAGCAGCAGCAGCAGCAGCAGCAGCAGCAGCAGCAGCAGCAGCAGCAGCAGCAACAAAACCAAGAATCAGAGCATGAGACAGAGGGTGGGCTTCCCTGTCCACGGAACAAGTAAAACGGAGTGACTTTGAGCAAGAAGCATGCTTGCAGAATAGGGTGCCTCCAAGGCACTTACTTTGGGGAGGTAGGTTTGCTGATCCATAGAGTTAGAGCTGAGTGACTTAAGGTTGAGGCTTGCGATGGAGTGGCGGGCCATGTGGGCATTTATCAGCAGTCTAAAAAAGCTTTTTAACTTAACCGAGGCCTGACAGAGGATACAGCTGAGGAGACAATGCCCTGAATGAAAAACTGTCCTGAATATTTCTGACGCTGAATTGCAACCTGTTAATTTGCCTTGTGACTCCACAACTATGAATATAGTGTCTGAGTTCTGCGTGGCCATTGCAATGAATTACTGAACCCAGGTTAAGTAGAGTGTACTGTGGGAGGGATGGCTGTTGCCCCATTTTTTTCTTCTTTTTGCACTGTCAAATACGTTAACTTACTAGATAGCAACTAATTAGATGACAGATAATTCCATATTCTATGTTAGTTTATTATACTCACCCCATTTTTCTTGAATGACAGAAAGATTTGCAAGCAATTGCTCATGATATAATCGTTCAAGCTGAATGAATTTCATTGCTTTCTCATCTGAAGGAAAATTTAAGGAAAACAAAAATCCAGATTTTTACATTTAGCCCCATACTTCAAGAATGTCCTGTTAAAGTTAAGAAAGTTGTGGCTTACTAAACAATGAGACGGTTCTGAATATTTTTAGATTTAAATATATGTAAAACAACATTTCTTGATTTTGTAGTAGGTAAATTTTGATGCAGCATATTATGCAGTAGTTACTGGGTTCCATAAGGAGCTCTGGTAGCGTAGTGGTTACGAATCAGGCTGCGAACCGCAAGGTCAGCAGTTCGAAACTACCAGCTGTTCCGCGGGAGAAAGAGGAGGCTTTCTGCTCCCATAAAGATTTACACCCTCGGAAACCCTGTACAGGGTCGCTATGAGTCGGAACCGACTCCACAGCACATAACAACAACAACACTGGGTTCCATATTATTAGCAAACTGCAGAAATGGAAAGGTTTTAATGTGCATGAAATGTTAATTGTTGTGGTTAAAATCTATTGAATCGATTATGACTTATGCTCTTGCAGTTAGGTGCCATTGAGTCAGTACCATACAACAGAACGAAACACTGCCCCGTTCTGAGCCAACCTCACAATTGTTGCCAAGCTTGAGCTCATTGATGTCATCACTTTGCCAAACTATCTCACTGGTGCTCTTCCTCTTTTTCTATGACCTTCCACCTTACAACATGATATCCTTCTCCAGTGACTGGTCCTTCCTGACATGTCCGAAGTATGAGAGACGAAGCCTGGCCATC